CAACTGAGACCGGGGTCATTTTCGGAAACATTGTCTATGAGACCTCAAATGTGCTCGAGCGCACTGTCGTTGTCCTAAATGACATTCATATTGACATAATGGATTATATCTCTCCAGCAGTGTGCAGTGATGCTGCTTTCAGAACTATGTGGGCAGAATTTGAGTGGGAAAACAAGGTACTGTTTTAGTCTTCACGCTTTTGTTTTAGTTTTGTGGTTGATCCATTCATGCTTTACTTTTATATGATAAATCAACGGTAAAAACTTTGTAATATTTTTAAGCAGTTCTTTTGTCCCAAAACTTTGTAGACTATGGAGTGATATCAAGCAGCACAGTTTTTCTGTCATGTCACTATTTATGTTGCTAGCATATAAATGAGTTAGAGTTATAAGCACATTTGGGGAAGTGTGATCAAACTACTCTTGATGTCATTTCCCACCTTATTATGATATTCAAACTATTTCCCCTGCATTTTTGCATGCATGACTGCATGCATGTTTTTTGCACGGTTTATCACACTTTTTTGGGGTCTCCACGAAATGAGCCTTTTATTGCACGGGTTAGAATTAAGGCCTGTGTAAATCTTACCCACGTTAGACCCTATTGTTCTGGGATATACTGAGTATGTTTGGGTTGCTTACATTTCTATTGAAGTAAGAAACAAGCTCAAACGAATTCATGCATCTGCCCCAATTGGATTGGGATCATGGCTTGTTTGCTGTAATTGCTTTTAATTGTATTTTAGGCTTGCTGTTCATGCTATCTTCCCTATTTATTTGATCTAGCATTTTACTCTTCTGCTGTCATACTAACATTGACCTGGTGCTGTGAAGGTTGCTGTTAATACTGTTATTCAAGAGGCGAAGGAATTCCTGGACCACATTATCAAATCAACTAATATGAAGTGTTTGACTGCTCCGTGAGTTGTTTCTCTCTCATCAATATTGAATGATGTGTTTCTCTCGTGTTAGTTATTCGATGACAACAGTTCTTATTTTTTCTATATCGTTCTGGGACGTGTGGCCTCAGATCTGCACTGGAGGGTGAGTGTGGGTTCCTGGCTGCCAATTTGTATGCAAAGAGCGTGTTCGGGGAAGACGCTTTAGTGAATTTGAGCGTTGAGAAACAAGCCGATGGGAAGCTGAGTGGCTATATTCGGATTAGGAGCAAAACTCAAGGAATCGCTCTCAGTTTGGGGGACAAAATCACTCTCAAGCAGAAGGGTGGCAGCTGATCCCAAAAAACCCGACACATTTATTGCGGTATGTGCTCTGTCCCGACTTTAAGAGCCAATGTTACTCCAGGCATTTGTTATTACATGCATGTTCATATTTTTAAGTATACTTCATTCGTCGTCTCTAAAAGATTTTCTCCGTTTGACTTTACGGAGATTAGGAAATGTGTTGGAAAGTTTTTGAACAATGAAAAGTGAGTGGTTAAAATTTGTTTGGAAGAGAGAATCATTTTGGACCATATACTTCGTCCATCCACTTGATTCTTTACACTTACATTTCATCTGTTCTATTTGATTCTTTACACTTCCATTTTGAACTAAAATAAATGGTTGAAATCCCATAATTACCCTTCTATTTTGTATCACATCAAACCCATACCCATCTCCAAATTTAAACTATCCCTCTTTTCATTTTCCACTTTCCACTTCCCACACCAATACCCCACACAATATTTGTCTTATCAAGGGCATATTTGGAAATTACACTTTCCACTTTCTACTCCTTTAACTCTGTTTTTTTCTCTTGAAGAGATACAGATGGGGTATATTCTATGCATGAATAGTTTCACCTTTATAACTGGTGATTTTGTTGTCTCCAATAATATATTTGAGCTCATATTTCCTGTCTTGTGACATTTTCTCTGCTCATAGTAATATTCTTGTCCTTGTTATTGTTGTTGTTGTTGTTGGGGCAGATTGCTGTGTTTTGATTTGAGGCTTTGTTCTGAACTTCCTCTTTTGCCCCTTGAGAGATGCTGTCATTATGTAATGCATTTGTAGAACTTTAATAGTACCTTTCTTTTTTCCTTTTTTATTTTTTTTAAAGAATAATATTGCTACGCAATCAAATGACTTATGGCGTTTTGTAGTTCTTATTATTATTATTGTTATTTTTGTATTTTAATTGTAGAATGTAAAAGCCGTCTGATAGGAACATTTTCCATGCTTTTTGTTCAGAGTGAATTCATTAATTCCAAATTTTTTTTTTATGTTTTGTCTAAGAAAATAGTGATTAATTGATTATAAGAATTTGTTGTTTTAAAATGGGACAAGAGTCAATGTGACCTTTATAATTTTAGCACAGATAGGAAGTGAATAAATATATTATAACGTTCCAAAGAGAAAAAATTGGACAAGTATATGGGACGTAGGAAGAAATATTGAAATACAAACATGTCCCCAATACTTTCATTTTAAATTTTATCCATCCTTGTATAACAGTACAATCGTCCTACAAAAAAAATATAGAATAAATCTATTTCTATTTCAAATATTAACCCCAAAAATTGCACTTACATTTTGTAACAATGTAAGTGCACGATTGATGACTTATGTTGATACAAAGTGTCCGTGCGAAATTTTGTTGTCGCACTGATATTTTGTGTCAACGTAAGTCATCAAAATATAAGTATAAATTTTTTAGTAATATATTTTAAGTTATAATTTTTAGGATACACCTAACATGGAAATAATACTCATCCACTGACCTAATATTAACATTAGGGTTGATCCTAAATTTTTCATGAGAAATTTACCTAAATAGGACTAAAACATAATGACTTTCCCAATATAGGACCATATGTTTTTATTTTCAAATGTAGGACTTTTGGTCATTATCAAGTAGTCATTATTCAAGTAAATGTCCATCATTAGAGGACATTATTCCTCCCACTAGGTCATTATTAAGTCCTATTTAGAGAATAAAAAAGTTTAAGTCCTACATTGGAAAATTCATTATGTTTTAGTCCTATTTAGCGCAAATTTTACATTTTGCATTGAAATGCCAACATGATGTTCTAGAGAGTAGCAAGGTAATCTTACTTAGAAAATAGAGCATTTTTTTGAATTGTATTTGATTACCCTCTGTTTCTAAGAATTTTCTCGTTCATTTTTTCATCCATCCCAAACAAATGTATCCACTTTTTATTAAAAAATTAATTTTATCGATCTGTACTAGTTTTACCATACCAATCACATCATCTTCATTCACTATTAATCTACACTCACGTTCTACTTTTACCCATTATGACAAAAATATTTTTGGAAAGTCAATATTGAAATACACTCTTCCGCGAATTTTTAAAAGTCAATACATGAAGAAATTTTAGGGATGGTGGGATTATATAACTGTGTTTTTATGTATGTAGAAAGACTTACAATTGTGTTGTAAGAAGTGGTTATAATTTAGTTTATTTGCATATTAGCATAAAATTTAAACATAAGCAAGTGATTTTTGAGATTTATGAAAAAGAAAAGAAGAAAGTTTTTTTGGAAGTAACTACAAACATTTACGTTAAAAAATTACTCTTATTTTGCAAGAAAAACAACGTTTTCTATTAACGTCGATATTTAGGATATTTTTTAGTGGTATATATTAATTTTTAAAATGCTAAACCCAAATGCTATCTATCATTAAATAGTTATTAAAGAACCAACTTGATCAACCAAAAGGTTAAACTTGTGATTATAGAGTCATAAAAGATTTTAAAGTATACTCTAATACGCCTCATTACATACAAATGTGATCCTTTCTTAGTACATTTCGAACTTGTAACCTCTTAACTTGGTCAACATGGTTGCGATATCACGTTAGAGGACTAAGTCAACAAATACTGCAAGCTTATTATTGTATACCCACAAAGATTTTTAGATTATATGTAACAATAATTTTTTTAAAATGCTAAATCTTAAACGCAAAAATTATTGTCAAACAGGCACATAGGGGTGTTCATCGGTCCAAGACTGGACCGGACCGAAGACCGAATTGATTAAAATCACGGACCGAAGACCGGACCTAAATCTATTCGGGTTTGGACAGGACCGGACCGAAATACTTAGGACCGAACCGGTCCAGACTGATTGGACCGAATAAAAATGTATTTATTTAATTATTTTGATTATTTGAATATATATATTTTAGGTTTTGATGGTTTGTCTTTCAAAAAAGTATTTTAGGCTTTTTATTTTGTAGCCTACAAATAGGAAGAAAAAATAGACAACCTAAAAATAAATAAACAACATGGACTACTTCTATGTAGAATAATAAAAACTAATGCGGAACTGTTTTTTTAAACTTTTTTTTAAAAAAATTCTTAACAAAATTAAAACTTCTTAAATTAAATAAATTAAAATATCTATTCAAGTACAACATCAAAGTGTATTCCGGAACTTAAACAGTAGAGTTTACGTATTTAGGTCTTTTAGGTCCAATAGGGTTATTAGGTCAATCCGGTCCAATCGGTCCGGACCTAAATCATTTTGGGTTTGAACCGGACCGGACCGATACCCGAATTTCTATTTTTTCCGACCAAAGACCGACCATAAATCCATTCAGTCCGGGTTCGGTATGGACTGAACGGTTCAATTCGGTTGGTTTTTTTGGTCCAGACTTAAACATGAACAGCCCTAGAGGCACATAGACAAAAATGGATGATATCATATGGGGAAGAGTGGAAAGCTTGTGAGAGAAGGGGCATAGTAGGTAAGCTAAGAGATTACCCAATATAATACATTCAAACACACACTTCCTTCCATATCCATTAATCTTCCTTAATTAGCTTCTTTGATTTTGCTCCACAAACACACCTTTAAATAGTTCCCAGCAGTTTCTTGCCCATGAAGTGATCATCAAATTATATATCCTCATACATATCAAGAAAATAATCATAATTCCAATATTTTTATTAATTAATAATAATAAGGTAATAATTAATGCTTCATTCTACAACACTAGCTATAGAAATACAAAAACTGAATTATTTCTTCTTAATATTATTTCTTAGGGAATTAAATTATATTAAACCCTTAGCAGGTAAATATAAGTAATATATTCCCTTTATTCACACATCTATATACCTGGCTTGGGGTTTTTTAAAGGAGTGTTTAAAATAAAATAAAATGGAAGGGAAAGAGAGTTTGCCGCCGGGTTTTAGGTTTCACCCGACGGACGAAGAGCTGGTGACGTTTTATCTTGGGAACAAGTTGAGATCAGAAGAAGAAGAAGAAGATGGTTTCACAACTAGGGCTATTGCAGATGTTGATCTCAACAAGTCTGAGCCTTGGGATCTTCCACGTAATTAACTAACTAACTAATTATATATGTATATGTGTGTGTGTATTATATACTCTCTAGTCTCTAGCTTAATTATATTATAATTCTCGTGCAAAATGTTTCACGTTTCCTTTTTTGTTTTTTTGAGTTTTTAATTTGTCTTTTAAATTTGGTTAAGTGGATTAGGAGTTGAAGGAAAAGAAAGAAAAATGTTAAGAAAACAAATCAATCAATTACACTCCCTTCTATCTTGTATTCTTGTAATTGTTATTCATGCAACACATGTTATTTCATTCTCTCATCTCAATCACTCTCAAACATATAATTCCATTTTTTTAAATAATCGTGTCGATTATATTGTATTGAGGAATCCTATTGCGTGTTTTTTGGCCTTTTTTAATTACAGGCACTTAAGACTAGGGTTGTAAACGAATCGAATTGAATATTCATGAATAATATTCGTATTCGTTAAGATAAAGTGATTTTCGAATTCGAATTCGGTTCGAAAATTTTTTTAAGATTCATATTCGGTTCATTTAATATATTGAACATATTCAGTTTGTTTAAAAATTCGGTACGTTTAAATATATTCGGTTTGTTTAAAAATATTCGATTCATTTAGATTATATATATATATATATATATATATATATATATATATATATATATATATATATATATATATATATATATATATATATATATATATAATTTGTATAATTAAATTTATATTCCAAATATATTTGTCAAACTCACGAATCGAATACCCTTGATTCATATTCGTATTCGATAAGGATTCGAATATCTATTCAGATTCGTATCCGTATTCGGATTTGAAAAAATCAAATCCGAATCACCTCATGCCATACGAATACAAATCACGAACCGAACTAAAAATATTCGATTTATTTACAACCCTGCTTAAGACATTATGATGTATGTGACCAATAAAAATTACTGTATTTAATTTCTGGATTGATTATTTAATTAATGGGTTATTAATATAGTAAATAAAATAATAATAAAAATCAGGGAAAGCAAAGATGGGGGGAAAAGAATGGTACTTCTTCAGCCGGCGAGACCGGAAGTACCCGACCGGAGTGAGGACGAACCGGGCGACGGGGACCGGTTACTGGAAAACCACCGGAAAAGACAAAGAGATATTGAGCATCATCAACATCAAGGTGTGAGTGTGAGTGTGAGTTGGTGGGGATGAAGAAGACATTGGTGTTCTATAGGGGAAGGGCTCCTAGAGGTGAAAAGACCAATTGGGTCATGCATGAATTTAGGACCACCTACCCCAACTCCTCCTCTAATTATAGGACAACTTTTAACAAGGTATTTATATTATTTAATTACTCCTAGCCAAAAAAATTAATTTATCTTACTTTGACTTTTTTGATCTTTTTTAATCATAAATTAAATATATTCTTAATAAAATGTTTCAATTTGATATGACAAAATTGCATCTCAAAATGTTTCAATTATAATGAATTCATATTATACCTAAATATCATTTTTTTCACAAATTATGATTTAAGCGATCACAAAAGTTAAATTAAGACGATAATTTTGGAACATATGAAATATTTATTTGTGAGTATTTTGGGTGTTGTTATACTTACAATGTTTTTTTAAAAGGTAATTTTTTTGTGTTCGAAACGTAATTTTTTTTTTTAAAAGTTGGCTTGCATCTAAATTCTTGTTTTTGTATTTTTAATGATAAATTTTTATTTTAGCATAAATAATATGAATTTAGTCAAAATGAGAGTGAATATAACACCACCCATTGTTTATTTATTTAACTTCTAATTTGTTCATAATTAATTTATTCTTGATGGCACATTTATTTTACTTCCTTTAACATAGTCATGTCAACTTTTATTTGTTTCGTAGACATTTTGATTTAGTTTTTTAATATATACATTTTATTCCTTATTCCCATACCAACTTTTTAATAAAATAAATTTATAAAACACTTTACTTTAAATCAGAATTCCCTCATACTATTTATTTGGGACGGAAGAAATATAAATCGTTTTACTCCTCTCCCTTCAATATATAAAATGTTTCCAAATATCTTTTTTCGTCCCTCCCAATAAAGATATTTACATTTTAAGTATGGAAAATTAAATTATATGTCTGTGTCTCACTTTATTTCTGTGTATCTTCATTATTTTCAATCATACAATATCTCTCCTGCATTCATTTATTTTTCATGCGCACGCATATACGCAGCATGATGAATGGGTAGTTTGTCGTGTTTTCAAGAAGAGCGGCGCTGCCGCAGCAATCAAGAAGCACCCGCCGTCGTCCAACCACGCCTATGCCGCCGAGGTCGGTTCGTCGCAGGCAATGGACCCGGTCTATCGCGGAGGCTTCCACTTTAGCGCCGCCACCGGAAAAAACTACATCGCGCCCTGCAGTGGCGGATCCAGAAACTTAGACAGTAGGGGGCGCCAAACAGGGGTTTGGGGGCAGCACCCCCAAACTTTTTTTTAATTCAAACAATGCAAAACATTAAAAAATAATGAATTTAACCTCCAAAAATTATCCAAATAGTGAATTCAAAAGTTTAAAGAATGAAATTTCTATATAAGGAATGCATTATAACTTAGTTTAATTATTATATGTTTTTAGTGTTTCACTTTCAAATTTATTTTTGTGATTTTTTAAAAATTTGACTTTTAGATTATACTCTTTTAATAATTAAATATTTAACTTTTCTCATTTTTTCTCACTTAACACTATCTATTGGCCTTCAAAAAAAACACTATCTATTGAAGTCACTGATACTTTTAATTGGGGTCTCCAATATTTTTAATTGGGGTCATAAATAATACTACCTCCGTCCCGTGAAACATGGGACATTTGCTTTTTAGAAGGGATTTAAGGGAGTGTATTTTGGTATTGAATTTCCAAAAATGTCCTTTGATGTGATGGGTAAAAGTATGATTTGATGGATAGATTATTAGTAAAAAGGTATGATGTGATAGTTAGGGTATAAAAAAGTAAGGGGTAAAAGTGACTTTTTAATAGAAATGAGAAGTGTTTTGTGGGACGGATAAAAAAAGAAAGAGGAAATGTTTCACGGGACGGAGGTAGTATATCTCTAAAGACATTAAAAAATCAAAGTAAAAAATTAGATATATAAAAAAAGTAGTAGGGGGCATGTGACCCCAACACATACAAAGTACATCCGCCACTGGCGCCCTGCAACATCACGAGCCATGCAGACATGCAAGAGCTGAACACGGCCTTCCGAGGCGGTGGCATTGGTCCCGCCGCTTCAACCGGCGCAAGCTACCTCCCGATCTATCCCGTGGGCCCCACTGAGAGATCGGAAGGTAGCTTCACTACTCTTTCCAGTGTGAGCCTGAACCTCGAGGGCGGGGGCAGCTGCAGTGGCGGCCCCACACCTGCCGAGTCTCAAGCAATTCTCCCACCAATGCTGCTGCCAGTTACGACGTCTCAGCTCGAGGCGGTGACCGATGGTTGCGTCATCGCATGCGACGACGATGGGGACGACCGGTACGCCGGAGTAGACTGCCTGAACAGTACTCCTAATGACTTTGATAGCTATTGGCCTACATATTGATATGATCTTTATATATACTCATACTGTTTAGAAAAAGAATGTGAATAGATCAATTTTGAAATTTTAATTTTTTACTATTGTAATTTTAAAGTTTACGTATGAAATATTGACTCTCACACTTATTTTTCAGAGGCTCGATCACAAATTCACAATCAAATCTCTTTCATTTTATAAATTTCAATATATTTAAAAATTGGTAGGGTTTTAGTGACACTGGAGTACGGTGCCACTGGCATTTTGGGACACCTCCGGTGCTCCGTTCGCAAAATTGACGGTTCCTACCCCCTAACCCACCCCCTAAACCCCCCACCCTACCCCCGCCCCTGCACCCCCACCCCGCCGTAAGCCTCCCACAAAGCTTACGGCGGAGTGGGGCGGGGGTGTAGGGGCGGGGGTAGGGTGGGGGGTTTAGGGGGTGGGTTAGGGGGTAGGAACCGTCAATTTTGCGAACGGAGCACCGGAGGTACCCCAAAATACCAGTGGCACCGCTAGTGGCACCGTACTCTGGTGTCACTAGAACCCAACCGTTTAAAAATTACAACTTCTAATAACATTTAGCTTACCCATCACATTATACTTTATCATTTATAATATACCCGGTCACATCTTTTTTTACCCACCCATCATATCAAAACAAAATTGGAAGCTACAGAACAGAACAGATCCTTGTTCAAATAACTTTTTCTCAATATTGGAATCATTTTAACAACGTACCAAATTAGGAGAGCAGCACAGGATCAGCTGCGGAGAAGGAAAAGTCTCACTGCGCGTTGGATTAGTCAACAACTGCCCCAAATTCGTCAACAAGAGACCATTTATCTAACCCTCAATTTCGGAATCCGTCGTTCATACTGTTTGAGATTTCGATCAGGTTTGATTTCTCTCTTTGTTGTTGTTGTTTTGAGCTGATTATCTCATTGCTTGATCCGAGGAAGTAGATGAGCTTGCATTCTCAGTCAAATTTCCGTGTAATTTATACCATTTCTTAATTTTGTGATGATCAATGAAATCTGAACTGGAATGGTGTGTACCTCAGCTCTGTTAATGCAACTGGCGATATCCGATAAGAAGTGTTAATAGGGACTGTGTCATGAAATACTGTCAAAGGGTGCCATAGTTTGACCAAAAAAGTCAAACTGCATCAATCTTTTAGGGACAGGGGAGTAAAAATTACACATTTTAAAATTACATCAAAATATCAATAAAGCAAGGTGTGACATGATTATATTATTTTATCAAAGGAGTAACAGAAATAGGAAAAAGAGAGTACTCCGTATAATATTTTGGGACAGAGAAAGTATTCCGTATAATATTTTAATTAGACTTTTATGTAATTTATAAATACATACAAAAATAATATAAATAATACAAAATATTAATATATGTATGAGTTTTTTTTTAAAAAGTAAAAATACGGCAATATTATAAAAAACTCGTTTGAAAATATAAGTATATACACTAAAAAGGATATAAGAAAAAAATAACACTATTTTTATCACATTATATTTCATACTAAAGTACATGGTTTTGGAAAACTCTTCCTTAGTGCCTTAGCGGGTTGGGGAGGTTGGGTTCGGGTTCGGTTGGGTTCCACCTATTTTTAGCTTGTCATTTTGGGTTCGGTTAGCAAAACTTTTGTTCAAGACCAAGTACTTTCAGGTCGGGTCTTTGGTCAAAAATATGTCAGGTCATTCTTTGCCACGTCGAGTTAATTCAGCAACTTAAGTATATACTTTGTTTTATATATTTCTCCATTCTGCACCAGCAAGCAATACATCTTCTAGAGCATGGGGTGGGGGAGTCTATACAAGAGACGCCTAAAAGTTTGCACTTTAGCTATTGTTATCTACCTGGATTATAAGGTAATTTTTCTCTGGAATTGGTATATTGTCATTGATAGATTCATATTCTGAGAGAGAATGTGTGTCCATTTGTGTCTGCACGTTTGCACACGCACGTTCCTAAATATATCTTTCATAATGAAACCAGGTGAACTGTTTCTTCATTTTTATGTATTTGTTTCTTTGAGCTTTGAAGGCTTTACAACAGAGGGAAAAGTGGACAAAGAAGCCGAAGATAGATGCTCTATGGAAAAAAGCTCATGAGCGGAATGCAAAACGGGTTCTCAATTTGATGATAGAGTTAGAAGGTCTATGGGTGAAACTAGGACAATACCTATCCACGCGTGCTGATGTACTTCCAGAAGCCTATATAAACTTGTTAAAACAATTACAGGACTCTCTTCCACCCCGCCCTTTAGAAGAGGTATTATTTCCCCATATTATGTTCTTTGAAACTGATTATAATATTCAGCCATCAATTTGATGCTTTTTTACAGGTTTACCAAACTATAGAAAAAGAGCTGGGAAAATCCACGGCCGATCTATTCTTGTATTTTGATAAAGTTCCTCTGGCAACAGCATCAGTAAGTAACTAGGAATATATAGGCATAACTCTATAAAAATAAACCACAAACATCTTGTTATATTCAATAGATTTTCTATGCATGGATTTTTGACTAGAAGTTATTGTTGAACACCTTTAGACTAGTATATTAAGCTGGAAAGTGTTTGTTTTAAAGTAAAAGTAGTTGGGTGTAAAGTGTTGCTAATACAATGAAGTTCTTTCTTCGCAAACACTGCACCTCAGATGAAAAAGATCACTGTCTCTGATCAAATGGGCATGCAAGTATTGCGCAGGTTACTCACAGGAACACTGTCAAAGTTCTTGACACACACACACACATAAATTTCTTGTAAACAACGGAAATGATTATGCTCACCATATGGAAGGTTACATTATGTCGTGTTATCCTTAGTGACGTATGCCTGAATGCCATCGCCATGCAGATAGCACAAGTTCATCGTGCAACTTTGCGTGATGGGCATGAAGCTGTTGTCAAGGTTCAGCATGATGGCGTAAAGATAGTAATCTTGGAGGTTTCTATTGTTTCACATATATACAGTTTAACTTTCTTTTGTTGTTAAAATGCTTGGTTATAGAAGTGGTATTACTTGGATCATGCTCATTAATAGTGTCACTTCTTTTGCAGGATCTGAAAAATGCTAAATCAATAGCAGATTGGATAGCTTGGGCAGAACCACAATATAACTTTAATCCTATGATAGATGAATGGTGCAAAGAAGTACCCAAGGAACTAGACTTTAATCATGAGGCAGGTGTGTAGTGTGTCGAAATGACAGAGTTCTTCTAAAGTTGATTGTCAAATATTGAATGCATTTTTTCATTTTGTTTCTAGAAAATACTCGTAAGGTCTCAAGTAACCTAGGCTGCATAAAGAATTCTAAAGCTTCCAATTTAGTTGATGTATTAATTCCTGAAGTTATTCAGGTATGTTTTTATAAGCTCCCACCAGCTGAGTTTTGGCTTGAACTTGACTGAGATAAACATAAAAACATTGCATGACTAGCAATATGAGTACATATCTCAAGAATGACTTTATTAAGATGGGCTAACTTCATATACTCTGATACTCTTTATGTGGAATTGTTGAAGTATATTGTGTTTCAAAAGTATGGTTGTCAAGGTATTGCCTTAGGATTCTTAGAGCACACATTTTTGTCTCTATGGACAATTGGACACTGTGCTTAATGTCCAATAGTTAAATACTTAAATCCAATTGCGAAGATTACTCTTTCATTATTACATCATTATCCTCCTAAAATAGCCAAAAGATGTATCATGTATGTGGGTATGGAAATGAGAACGGTGCATTTTCGGGCCGCCGTGATGTGTTTTACAATTGTAGTAGTGCATTTTTGGCATTGGCAGATAAGTTCAATTTATTTACAAAACTGCCTTGACAATTTTTCATTTTGTTTTCAGATTTTTTATTTTTTAATAGCCCTTAGATCTTAAATCTAATGGTTCATATTCAGATTTTTTATTTTTTAATAGCCCTTAGATCTTAAATCTAATGGTTCATATGCATTCTCATTTCTTTCACTGGACATCATTCTCATTTGAACCAAAGTCTCTCTCTCTCTCTCTCTATTTGTGTGTGTATATATATGTGTATAGTTTTTTTCTTTTTGAAGTATATATGTATATGTGTGTGTGTGTGTGTGTCTATATATATATATATATATATATATATATATATATATATGACAAATGAAGTTTGGTCAGTCTGATATTCCGTCAAATTAAGGTGTTAGTTGTCTTCCCTTTTTGGCTTTACTCTCTGCTTCTTTTTTAATAGGCTTATCATTTTATTTGACACGTAATGTGCACCCAAGCTAATTCTTGCATACATTCACCATTTATATATGGATAACACCACATGTCAATTCTTCTTGTCTGTATATCTTTCATTCCACAATTACAGTCTACAGAAAAGGTCCTCATACTAGAGTACATGGATGGCATTCGTTTAAATGATTCCGAAGCGCTTCAGGCTTTGGGTGTTGATAAACAAAAACTTGTTGAAGGAATTACACGTGCATATGCACATCAAATTTACGTGGATGGATTCTTCAATGGTGACCCACATCCTGGTGTGTTGTCTTCGCCCTCTTCCCATGTCCCTTCCCAAACTCTATGGGAATTTCTGTCTACAATGATTGATTCTGAAGACACAAATCAGTATCTTTTACTTTTCCTTCTGATTCTTTTTATATTTTTATTGTACTGTTAAATTAGGCAATTTTCTTGTGAGCAAGAAACCTCCGCATTCCCCCATTTTGCTTGATTTTGGGCTCACAAAGTTGCTGCCAAACTCTACAAAACAAGCTCTTGCAAAAATGTTCTTGGCTTCAGCTGAGGTCAGCCATCCTTTTAATATAAATGAGCTTGATCAGATGCCTGCAATTCATGATCTTCACCTTAAAATTTCCCTTGCATTGACTCTTTATGGAAAGGGTGGGCATGTCACAATTGCTGGGGTCTTGTATTGTGGAGGTCGAGAGTTTGAATTGCCTACCGCCTTGCAAAATGCAAGTAAAAAGTGGCCTAGATTTAACCCTTTCCTTGGCCCCCATTGTGTGGGAGCTTCAGTACTGGGTACAACTTAAAAAATCTAACGTGCTGAGAACATTAAGGTATCGAAAGAATAGATGAAATTTCTCATGCAGTTTTTTAATGATGGATTGGTTGTCATTAACTTCATGGAAAATGGTTTTAATGGAATTAACTTTTAATGGATGTGTAC